CAGACAACCTCTCGTCAATATGCGTTTTCTGCATTGCATAGCTGCAAAAAACGCATAATAAAAACTTGCACATACTTTTAACTCTGAAATTTGCGATTAGCCTGCGCGCGATGCACCAGTTATACTGTACGATGAGGGAGTAATACTGCTCACATCTGAACTGATCGATCGGCACAAACCGATAAATGCGCCTCCAATTTCCATTTTCTGTAAGTCAGAAGAAAATTAGTTAGCAGTTATTTGAAATTTTAGAAGTAGATTCATTTTTAAAATTTATATCAATTCCAAAAAAAATATTTTTTTACGTGAACAAAAGTTCGATCAAGGCGAGGTGATTTTAGTGGAATAGCTAAAAAGAATTCAATTTTTTCACTCATTTTCAATCCGATAAGTGAAGTGTTTTCGAATCCGTCATATCTCAGTGAAAAACAAGCAATCTTGACTAATATTTTCCGTGAAAACAGAAGCTCTACTAATTCAATTTCAAACTCAATAAGTAGTTCTTAGTTCGCTGAGGCGAGTCGGACAAGCAAATTCAACAATCGGAAATGCTGACCTCTGAGTGATTCCTTGACTTTTGACAGATATTTAGCAAATTCGCTGTTGTAAACAATACCACGCTGCAAAGTGCATAAAGCAAAATTAGATGCAGTGTGTAAAAACTGGCTGTATCCTATACAAGCCAAAATGGCCCGTTTTCGATATCCATCTCTATAACATCAAAATCCTTAAAAGACGGCTCAGACACACGTGGTCATAAAAGGCTACTGAAACTCAACTTCTACTTAAACATATCACAAAACACTTGTCCTTTCCTTCTCGCTTATCACTTCAACTCCCCCCACCCTCTTACCCCGCCATTCCCTTCTATCTACTCCTTTTCGCACTCTTCTCACCGCTGTCATTTTCCTTTTCTCAGCCAAACATTCCGCGAATGCAATACAGTTTTGAAGCGGTATGAAAATTCCTCTTTCAAGATCACTTTCGCGAATTTTTTAGTGGAATATTATTCAGCTCCATAGTGACGGTATTGGTAACCACTTTCTCATGAATTTGAAGCCCAAAGGCTCTTGCTAATCACATTTCAGTAAAAAAAAAAAAAAAAAAAAAAAACACAAACACACATATATACACAAAAACATACCGGGTTTTGGCATATTAACTGATTCATCGATGTTCCGGAAGAAGTCGTTTCAGGGCAATGCAGAACAACACTTTCGAAACACAATCCGCAGACTGCTAAGAGTGAAGCAGCGAAACGCGTCAGTATCAGAGAAGAAGATGGTATGCCGATTTGTATGGTACATCCCTGCAATTGGATACGTAAAAAATCGGTACAGACGCACACACAGACACACATAGACAATCCTTCGACAATACGCGTTCTTGCACTGTACAGATGCAAAAAAAGCACAAAAACTGGAAGGAGGGAGTTCCAGATTGACAACAAGTGGCGCCAATTCTCGGATACAAGCATCGAGTTCAAATCCTTCCGTGCAGAAATCAAATCACTAGAGTATTTTATTTTTTCTCAATATTAGACCAATACTGGTACGTTTAGCTTGTCAAGAAATAAAATCTCTTTAGAATATTTCACAAATAATTCCTGAAAAAGGGAGAAATCGGCATATCTGTCTGCAGCTAACGAAATGTTTCAAGCCGAGTGTAGTATCTGGGATGACTCTGGAAGCACATCTGGGGAAGGTATGATAGAATTCGCAAAGAAACAGCAGTATAAAGGGAAAAAGCCAAAATGAGATACGGCGTTTCGGTCCGTTAAGTCATATACTTCTTAACTCGACACATGTTCTGGTTTGAACAACTAACGAATATCCCCTCTCCTGTGATGACGAAATACGGAAGTAACTGATTTCTTCACTCACATAACAAGAGATAAACACAAAAAAGGGCTACTCAGTAGTGTTTCGCGTCCGAACAAATGATCGTTACCTGAGTGCAAGCGCTAGCAAACATATCCTCAAGAAGTGAAATCCAATCCAGCTGTGATTTTAGCCCAGTCGAATTGATATCAACTGATAAGCAATCTTGCAACATCCTTCTTGCATCCTCATTTGCTGTGTTTGTTTTCCAGCAGTCACAAATATCTCGCAAATCCTGAAAATAAACAATTGGCGCTTCCGCAAAAAAAAACGTTCTACGAAGGCTAAGAGCTAAAAAAGAGCAATGGACAACAAATATGCTGAACCCTTTCAGTATGTGATACAAATTCTGTCGATTCAAACTGAACTGCAGTTTTACAGCTTCAAATTGGACGGTGCTTTTGTCGATTCAAAAGGAAGCGTGGTTTTGCGGATTCAAACTGAACGGTAGCTTTGTCGATTAAAACTGAATGGTGGTTAAAACTGAACGCTAAAATCGACATGCGCTGCTTTTGTTGGGAGATCGATTCAAATGCAAGTAGAACAAAAACAATTCTAGCTGTGAGCAGAACAGCGATAAAATAGAAACTGTTTAAAATGTAGCAAATTAGGAATCTTGGCTGTTTCTTACCGAACAAATGTATTTCAGCAGCGCAAACATTTCTGGTTCCATGAATAAAGTATGTGCGATGGGCGCGTTAGCTTCAA